GCGACCAATTACTTTTGACTTGGGTTGAATCGCGAGCATGTGAAACTGTATTTGTGGTCTTTGGATAACATAAGTGTATTGTATACGCCACCTTGCACTGGGGGTTTGGCACAGTGGTAGCGCGCATGCTTTGCATTTATTACATTGCATGAGGTCGTGGGTTCAAGCCCCACAGTCTCCAAATATTTTGTTGATTATTGGCTGCGAGATTTGTATTGCCACCATTATGATCCAGTTTCCCTTCCCAATTATGTCCTTCAGTGCGGACACCATGGCCAATGAATGCAAATTGCAGCGTCGCTGTTGAAATAACGTCCGCAGTCCGACGCTCAGATCAATAAACGAGATGATCAACTAAAGACAAGAAGAATTTCAGTATATCCTCGGGAGCTCTCGAGGGCCAACGGATAGGGAGCTACAACAAAGTATGATACATATATCATGTGGTCAACGACGGCTAGTAAAGTATAAATGCGCTTCCTGCAAAGTACCTGTCGAGCATAAATGTGTTCCTAGATAGCCTCCCAACAAGACTCCCAAAAAGCAACCCCAGTACACGGTCGTCTTCGATCGTAATAGCCCAACGTTAAAGATGCCCTTTCTGATCCCGAATGCCTGCAGTAACTTTCTCCAGCCTAAGCCTTTCCGATAAGTTTCTGAAGCTCCCAACGTCAAACTCTGATCGCCCGGAAGACTAGCGTCCACTTGGAGTGCGATCGGCTGCTCAGAACAAATGATCTTATACATGGACGAGGGATCAAATTCCTTCCTGCACATTGGGCAAAGGCTACTAGTTCCTGATAGCTTGCTTAGGCATCTGAACAAAATACGAGAACATGAGGCGTAGGTGTGGGGAAGGGGATCCAACGTACAATAGGCAGAAGACGTGTCCGCAATTAATGGTATAAGGAGAGTGTGCGCCGTTGGGGACGTATTCATGGAAGCATACATCGCAGAGGCTCCCTGGTCGTATGTATAGTGGCATGAGGACCGAGTTGGGCTCACATCAACTAGTACTTAAACGATGCTGATCACGATGTCGTGCAACGTGTCCTCAGACCGCAGACGCCGAACTGATCTGTCATGCGCACGACCCTAGGATTTCTAAGAGAACGGTAATAACATGTCCCGAAATTACTCTAATAAACTACTGCGCGTCGAGTCGCCACATAAACTAGTCTTCAGGAAAGGTCAGCGTCGCAGAGAGCAAATGGCAAAACATACGGACATAAAAGGCAGTGCAAATATTGCGATGGCGATTGAGATATCGAGGAGAACGAGGGTAGAAAGCATAGTGTGCAAAGGTAGGACTGGGTACAGTGATGTCCGGTAATATCATAGAAGAAAAGCTCATGCCGAGAAAGAACGCCCCAACACCCCACATAAACCTCCAATGCCAGAGAGTTGCATAGGTCCACCGGATAGCGATAACATTCCATGCAAAAGAGAGTCTTCTTTGGATCGCTTCCCAGCACGCTTTGATGTACAATTTCTAGGATTCCTCCTCAAAAAGAAAGAACCGACCAAGAGAGAGTTTCGTACATGACCGTCGCCAAGCCGATTGAATTCTATTGACGCTGTGCCCGATGTCGCGACAATCAGCCTCACAACTTGCTCATTCGTAAAGACCTTGCGACACATTGGACAACCAGAAGAAATATTTGCGAGGCATCTGTCAGGCGAATGCCGTTAATCACTGAAACAAGAAATGCGAAAGACTATCTACTCACGCTTTACAAAAAACATGACCACATGGAATTGCACAAGGAGACAAAGAGCTATCTTTGGATGTAAAGTTCTCCCAGCAAATGTCGCAATCACTCGATGAGTGGATGAGTAGTGGCATTGAAGAGCGTCCAGAACATGGAGCGACAAGAAAAGACCAAAAGACGTCGTGACGCAACAATGACATAATTTGGAAGCCCGGTGACTGTTGATATGTAGCACAGAAATCCCTGTCTTTTACGGATTGACAGACCAAGGTCCTTTATTAGACTACATAGTAAACGTCGAGTTTCGAATCATGAACACTAGCTAGCAATCATGGCCTCTATATCGACAATTTATACAAGTTTCGAGCCTGGACGCGGAATACCCACCTCAACTCGACCTCGTCATTATTGGATGTTTGGAGAAGAGAGAGAAGAGAGCGCTGCGTAGCAGCGCAAAGACGTACCTTACTTCTGCCCTGTAGACTTTAGTAAAGAATATTTAAGGTCGAAGCTGTTGCGCTGTGTCTCCTCGAGCGTAAACGGCATGATCGTTGACAATTTTTGGAGAGCCGTGAGCATGCGCCCGTCCATGTCGTTCGTTTGCGTGCGTTATGTGCGCTGTGTCGTGTCTGCATCACTTCTTGAGCATGAGTATGAGATTAATGCGAGTGAAAAGAACGTACCTGCGAACCAATCTAATCTAATCCGATATTTGGCCACATCCGCCGAAAGGAATCCCGCGTTTATCGATACTCGAAGACTGTATGGGAGCCATCAGTGAACGTTCATTGAAGGGGCTTGCCACCCGCATCCACGTAATGTACGTCCATCCTGCGGACTTGACGTTCCGCCAACAGAAGCTGTGATATCGACAGTGAATTCAGAGATGTAATGGCGAGTCGGCATAAGAGAGACCGGCTAACTCCGGTTTCGAAGTGGGACTCGATGAAATACAATTCATGTATCACTGTATCTTGGTGTCCTATAGGTGTTTTCACCTAAAGCATAACCTCATCTGTGCTCTGGTATCTCTAGGAGCACCATTCTAACTCGACAGTGTTAAGGGGTAGCTCACTTGCAGGTTCTCCATGAAACTCAAGATCGTCTACCGCGTTCTTCGCAAGATATCTGACTGGTCGATTGGGGGCTTTTACTCGGAAATCTACGTAGAAGGACATGAAAATGTGACAAAGGATGGACCGCTCATCATGTGTGTCGCGTTCTTTCTCCAAGCGACTTGTTCTAGCATCCCATCTAAATCATCGTCACAGAGCGTCGACGCATCATAATGAGATTATCGACATTGCCAATCTCGGTGATAAAAACTAGATATTTCGTATTGTGACTGTTTGCTCAACATTTGGACTTGTCAGCCGCGACAATACCCTACAGGCGCCACCTCTCCTTCTGGGCAAAATCATCAATGTTTGTAAATCCCCTCTCGCGCGCTATTTTGCTGTCATCCGGTGCCATCCCTGTGAAGCGAAATCCTAACAACGGGAATGAGACGTCACCGCAGGCCAGCTTGTTTCGTGAATCCACCATGGCTCTCGCAGCTGGGGAAGTTATCGGCGTCTTTCCCGAAGGCACCAGCTACACGCAACCTAGTGTTATGCAAGTCATGTCTGGCACAGCGTGGACCGCGATTGACTACGTCAAGTGGGCCCATCAACAGGATGTCAATTCGCCGCCGTTGACAATCGTGCCGGTGGGGATTGTGTATACTGACAAGGCACGGTATCAGAGTAGGGTGAGAATAATCTTGCTTATTTTCGTTGTTTACTGACTTTCGACTCGCCAGGTCTGTGTCAGGTTTGTATTCTGCTCACCGGTAAAGAAGGCCAGATTTCACGACTCAAACCTAGATACGGTAAACCTATTATCGTTGATACATACACGCAAGACATATTCAAGGAAGGCGTCGACGCCGAAGCTGCCGCTAGAACAGCCGTCAAACAAATCACAGCGGAGATAGAGAAGCAAATGCGAGCCATGACCGTCAACGCGCCAGATTGGTGAGCCTATATCCTTCCTCGACGACCTTGAGTATAATCGTACCCAGGGATACCTTATACGCCGCGCAAATGGCGCGAGATATTATCTACGAAGACCCTGTGAACATCCCTTTAAAGAACTGGCTATCAGTATCCCAGAGGTGTGTCCCCATGCCACGCGCATCCTTCGACATCTCACCCCCACATCAGCCTTGTGGACACATTTACTGCCCAACTTCCACCAGCTCCCGGCTTAGATGCCGCAAAGTCTGCCCTCACGACCTACTACGCTCTCTTACATTACACTGGCATTTCTCATTCCTCCCTGACTGTCCTCCTCCCCACCATCCACGTCCCGCTCCCTACACGCATCCTACACATTGCCGTGCGCATGCCCATCGCCTTTCTAAACCTCCTCCTGTTTCTTCCACCGATGCTCTTACACATCTCGGCCTACCTCATGGGGCACATCGCGCCCCGCGTGCTCGTCGAAAAGGGGGAGGTCGAGGGACAGGCCCAGTTTAAGGCAATTTTTGGCGGAGTCGGGCTCGGAATCGGCGTTGCCGCTGTGCTGCGTGTGTTGAGGAAATCCGTGGGCCTGGGGCCGCTGTGGAATTTTGCTACGGGTGGACCTGCACAAGAGGGGTTGGTGGGTGGTCTCAGACGTACAATCGGGGCGCTGGGTGTCGCCTATAGCAGCGTGTACCTCCTCGTGAGATGGCATAATGCACTTGTTTATGGTATGTTAGTTTGCGTGTTTTCATTCATCCGCGTTCTCAATCAAGTCGTACAGGCAACTACAAGAGGTGCGTATGTTTTGCCCGTGAATCTCAGCCTGGCTCACGTCTGGTTCTAGGCTCAAGACTTTACTGACACTATGCAAGCTATGTCTGGGTCTCCTTCCCCAGCGCCCTGCCAGCCCTGGAGATTTAGAAAAATACAGACATCCGCCAGAGCCTCCCCCAAATCATTTCATCAAGGGCAACCAAGAGACTGATGGTGTCAATGGTGGCGTCATGAATCTGACGCGGGATTTGCCTACCCTGAGAAGTATACCTACGCGGAAGCTGATTAGACCCCTGCTTGCTGCACGCAAGGATGCTCTTTCTGCTTTGGAGGCGTATTTGAAGACAAGAGCGGATGATAGTCATCATGATACCCAAGCAACAATATTTTTGTCCGGGCCCGGGGTGAGGACTGTGATTCCAGCAGGGTTTTAGTCTACGTGGTTATCCCTGGACTATCTGTGATTAGTAGCCAACAAGAGTCCGGACTTCGTCGGAAGGACTGACGGATCATACGTTAGTTAGATAACATGTCTCCTCGCTGCTGGCGACGGCGTGCCGCGTCCGAGTCTCAACCGCGTCTATCGATATAACTTGGATAGCGATGCTCAGCTAGCCGGATACCGTGCTCAACTAAATGCCCCTAGTCCTTGATCTGCAAGCTTTTGTGATATCTGCTTCAAGTCCTTC